TCTCTCTAGATTTGGGTTTTAGAAAAGCTATTCCCTTCTTCGCTTGCTTTCCAAAACGACATCGATGTCCTCACCCGACAATGCTTGCTTTCCATTAGATCAAACTCCAATAAATAATCCATAAAATGCATCGACCTGCTCTATGTAACCGGACCTGAACTCTTCCCTATCAGAACCTGATTTTTTTTCTGCAATGACTCCAGCCCCATTAGCCGCACCACCACTCTTGGATCAGCACTAGCATTAGCTGCAACCTAGAGTTGGATCTTACCCTCATCAACAAACTCGGTTACCCTTCTCCGCTACCCCTAATTCCCGTCCCTTACCTGTCCGTGAAGACTGTTGGTCTGAAGAGGCCACATCCACCCTCATCAACGCCTGGGGACGCTTGGGGTTGCCTGGGTTCGGCATCGATGGACGATGGGTATTTTAGAAGAAATTATTCGGCCCTTGCTGTAGCTGTAGTAGCAGCAGAGAATGAAGAGGAAGAAGTAGGTGAAAGCGAGGGAGAGCAAAGTGATCAAGGCGAAGGGGAAGAGAAGGAAGGTATAGATCTGGTTTCGTTCTTTTGCTTATTTTGTGTTTCCTATGTGTATTTCCTGAGTTGATTCGGTGGTTTTCGTGTTGCTTATTTTCAAGATTAGATCTACAGTTGGCTTGTATGTAATTTGGCTCGAATCGCTTTTTTTCTAGAAATTCTTTACTCTTTTTAATCTATGTTCCTTTTTATTAGTTGGATTAGGAGATCTTGGCTTTGCTGTTTGGTATATTCAAGATTAGTTTCCATGTTATGTGATGAAACCCAGATCTGGGCTTGAGAAAAACCCAGATCTGGGCTTGAGAAAAACCCAGATTTGGGTTTGAAGAGGAAGAAGAAGGGAGAAGAGAGAGAGAGAAAGAATAAGAAGAAGAAGGAAGAAGGATGAGCAGGGAAAGGAAAGGAGGAAGAAGATGAAGTTTGAGAGAGAACCCAGATCTGGGTTTTGCAAAGGTAAGGGAAAAGGAAAGGTAAAGGAGAGAGAAAGTAAAAGAGGAAGAAGAGATGACGTGGATCGAAAAAAAGGATATCAAAAATTTTTAATTAAATAAAAATGCCACTTAATAAAAAAAGATGGCCAACTGTGTTTTTTTTTTTCCATGTCATTAGTCAAGCAAAAAAAGAATTGATTTTGTGGCATTTTAACGTGCCACCTATCATTTAACTGACGGAAGAACCATTTTTGGTTTCGAAAATGAAAGTTTAAGGATAATTTTAATACTTTTTAAAGTTAAGGAATAATTTTGGTGCTAAAGTGGAAAGTTGAGGGACCAAAATGGTACTTTAACCCCATAAAGCGGTGCTGCCCCTAGGGCTGGGCAAAAATCGGTTTTGGTTAAAATTGGAATTGGTTTTAAAATAACCAAATTTTTTTTTTTTCAATTTTGAGTATCAAAACCAAACAAAAGTTTTCACAAATCGATGGTTTGGTTACCAATAAAATCGGTTCGGTTTCAGTTTTTACTAAATAAATATTAATCAATTATTTTTCTAATAATAGATTATATTTTATATTATATTTTATCATATTTATCCCAATTTCGGTTTTCAAAAAGCTTATTTTAGGTTTTTAGTTTTTGAAAAGTTCAACCGAAATCGAACCAAATTTATTTAGTCAATATCAGAATCAAAACAATAAAAATAAAAAACCATTAAAATCAAACTGAATTCATTTTTTTGGTTCGATTTCCGAGTAACCCTTCGGTTATCCACCCGAATGCCCACCCCTAGCTGTCCCATTCAGTTATTGGTGACCAATTACCAGCACACCTACAATATTTTGCATGTAACATGACTGGTATTTGCATCTAACAATACA